CTTGTTTTTTCTTTTTACTGTTTCGTCAGTTGATAGTTTTTACTTGCAAACACATTTAATAACTTCTTATCATACAAAAAATAGAACCAATTGCCAAAAGAAGAGCTTCGACTAAATTACTTTTTTACACTTCGAATATCTTTTCATAAACAGAGTTTCTTCCGTTGCCAGACACTGATAACTCAAGAGGCTCTCCTTGTAACTGCATTCTTGTTCTACTTCCTAAATCAACATCCTCCTCTCCGAACTCTCTCCCGCATTCTTCCTTTCCCCTCCGTCCCTAGTCCCAATTCGTCTCGACGACTTCATCATTTCCCATTTCAAGGTTGAATCCTTTTGCGATGACTTATCCCATAGTAGCGTGGGCACCCGTAAACTCCCTCCTGCGAATGAAGGTGGCTAATATTTGTCACTCACCTGACTAATTGTTTGGTTAGACCTACAACATCCCGGGCGCGGCGCCCCCCTTGTCCGTTTTCCAACCTATTGATAGATAGACACTACATACGAACGAATCTTACAGAGGTAATTGTAGGGATTAGAACACGTTTCACTGATTGCTGCATCCCCTCACTTTTCCTATCTATCTGCCCTTTTCATTGTGCTGCTGCCTGACTGTCCGAAAGAAACCTCCGTGTTTTCTCCTTCTTTTCACAATTCAATGAAAAGAAGGAAAAGAAATCGAAACATATGTACATTCTGAATGTAAATAAATGTAAACGTGTGAAATGAGGTAGAAGTGTGTGAGGAGGAAGAAGACGTCGATGTGCATGCAAAAGAGCGAATTGATAAAAAAAAACAGGCCAGATGAAATGCGCAGAATCGAAATTGAAAGTTGTTCGAGAAAATGAAATCGAACTGTTGGCATTGTTTGTTTAGTATAAGTTACCGTAACCTTCGAGAGTGGTGTCTCTAAAGGTGTCGTAATTCATTTCTTTGTGTCTTTTTTACTTTCGCTTTTGGGGTCTTCTCTTGACAATCCAATTTTCTGCTAGAACGGAAAATTCGTCTCTTCTGATGACTTCCACCAAGTTTTTTTCGCTAATTAGGTCATTGACAGATTAGACAGCTGGCATTAGGTATTCACCTGATAATGCAGTTCTAGAAAGTTCCAGAAATACCGTACTCCCAGAGATCGGGAAATTTACGAAAAATTCAAATTTCAAATGGAAATCGTAAATTTGCTGTAATTTCGAAATTTTGCGTTTTTTCTTTAATTTTCCGGAATTTCTGACTTTCTGTCTCCGATTATCTCGATGTTTCTATTCTTGTGACAACTTTTTTTACTAGGTTACACTATTCCAAAATTCGAGATGATCAGATTCAAAGGTGTGCGGAGCTTAGGTTTGGTAGCAAAATCCTTAAAGGCCCATTTAAAGGAACATGTATTTTTGTAGTCATCTTCTGACACATGCTTTTGATTTTTCGACGAATTCAATCCGAAAAATCGCAAAAAATTGGAATGAAACAATGAAATTTTTTTCAATCTTTCGATAAATTTCATCGATTTCGAACTTTTTTAAAACAAACAATTGCAAAAATTGCAAAACAAGTGCATAAAAAAGTATGGAAAAAACGATAAAATTTGTCTAAAATCGTAAAAAACAGGCTAGAAAACACCGTATTTCCTCTAATCGAACCCCACCCAAACCGTCAACTTTGAGCTAGATTACCTCGATTCCTGTGAAAGCTATCGAAGATCTGCCAACTGATAAAATGTTTGTCATAATATCACCTTGAACTTTCAGTGGCTGAAATTAGACAAGAGTACAGGACCATCAAAATCTGTATTTTAGCATAATTAAAATCACTGTAGGTTACTGTAGGCTCTCTTAAAACTTTCATTCTTAAAATTTACCGTATTTTCTCTAAAACAGCTCATCCAAATCGTCAACTTTGAGCTCATATATCTCATTTTCTGTGAAAGATATCAAAAAGTGGTTCATTGATAAAATGTAGCTGATATTACGATAAACATTTTGTCATTTGATCTAAGATATATCAAAAATATATCTTATAGGAGCCGAAATGATTGAGCTCAAACCTTACATGGGATCTTTCTATTACAGGTTTTACGATATGTTGCTCTTTTGACCTAATAATCTTTTATGATAACTAATTTGCTCCACCCTTTGATTCGGTTCTCAATCTTCTTTTTCGCATTCTTTCATCATGAATCCTCCCACGCCATATCATCTCGATTTCAGATCAAATTGACATCATCCACCTTCCCTTGTCCTTTCTACGTAAACGATTCAAAACGAGACAGTATGCTGAAATGAGAAAAGCTAGAAAATTGCATGCTGATAAAAGTCAGCCAAGAGAGGCGAGAGTGACCATTTTGGAAAAAGCGATGTGCAATACATGGGAGAGAGCACCTTTTTAACTAAAACGATGATAACACCTGATAAGAGAGAGGGAAAACGAGAGAGCCATTTTGAGTTGCATTTTGTATACATTTCCAAGTGATGAGTCTCTCTATTCTGCAACAAAGTGATTTCGATTTCAAATAAACACACATGGAATCTTGTGAATTTCAATTTAATTATCTTACTAGTCATTTCTCTCTCCTATTTTTAGAGAGACAATACCTCCCATAGATCGTCTACATCATCTGGTGTTTCTTCTTTTTCTTCTTCTTATCCTCACTATCCGTTTTCATGATTCACTCGGATGTTTTTGGGTGCGGTCTTCCCTTTCTCCTCTCTCCGCGTGATTTTTGCACTTTCCCTATTGAACAGTTACTCTACTCTTCATCAATCATTGTTGTTTGTTTTTATCTCTATCTATATGATATGACTTGCAATTGCAAGTTATAACTGCGCTCCATCGGACAGTTACCAGAAACCAACTGGGTAATTAAATTGGCTTATCACCTGGAAAAATAGGCGTTGCCCCCAAGAGCAATGATGTGCTCTTTCCTTCCGAACATTTTATTTTGTTACATTTCAAGAATCTCTTATCAGTTAGTTAATGACTTATAATCTGATTTCACCCCTTCTACGCAAGTGGCTTTAATCTTTAGCTTTCTTTTCCTTTTGAAACTCAAAAAATCAAGGGTTACTGTAGATTCTACGGTGTAAAAATTGACCTGTGATCAGTAGAAAACACTCATTGTTTCGGTGTGTAATGGCATAATCAGAGAATTTGGAGCGGCTTCTGAAAATTGACAAAAAGGTTAGCAGGTGTCATTCTTCGAATACACCGGATTCTTGTTTTTTTGTATGTCTTTTTCTGCTGCTTTCCAAAAAATGGACTGTTTGGAAAAAAGGAGAAGAAGAAGCAGAAATATGGGAGAATGGAAGAGAAGAAGAAGAAGTCGTAATTGATTATATGATATAATTGAACATGACTTCTTCCTCTCTCCCAATCACTCTTTTTTGTCGTTTTCATTCAGATGAAAAAGTCTCGCTCGCTTCGTTTCCATTTTGAACCGATTGCCTGCCACTAATTCATTGGCAGCGGTGGCGGAGGGAAAGCGAAATCTTTTTTTTGAGGTAATCACTTGACTGATTCGAAGTGATTTTAGCGCTTTTTACAAGACAGATAATGGTCAAAAATCGTACCAAAAACACGTGCAAGGTAGATGTGTTTCCGTCAATCTAGGCCAAAAATTCGCAAATTCTGGAAACCATAAAAGGTGATATATTATCACAACCAATCATAAACGGCCTAATGAACTGAATAATGGGTTTGATGATATATTTCTGCTTTAATCGCATTTAATGAAAAATGTCCTTAGTGAGATAAAATATATATAAAAAGATCTGGATTCCATACTTGTGAAGCGGGCCCTTGCCGGGTCTTCGCCGTGCACTAGTTTCTTTTATACTCAATATTTCTAAATTATCTAAATTGGATATGATAGAACTCAACAAGTACTACAAAATGATAATATTTGAAAAATTTTATATTGTTTATGAACGAAGTTACAGGCAAAACGGGCTAAAAAAAGACAGAGAGCGGCCTGGCCCGGATCTGCTTGAAACTTTGTTCATATGTAGACAACATACAGTTTTCCAATTGTTATCATTCTGTAGTACTCATCGAGTTCTATCATGTCCAATTTAATTGGTTCAAAAATATCGCACCTGAACAAAACTATGGCAAAAAAAGCCCGCAAACGGCCCGTTTCGCAAGAATCCAGATCTTTAATAATTCTTTCTCACTAAGGGAATTTCTCAATAAGTGCAATTGTACCAGAAATATATCACCAAACCCATCATTCCGTTCATTAGGTCGTTTGCGATTGGTTGTGATAATATATCACCTTTTACGAGATTTATTGTTTCATGAGGTTTTTGTCTTACTGTAGCTGTCTCCTTCTTCTATTTTAGGTTTTGTTTTTGAATTTTTCTGTAAATTTCAATTAGTGAGACTGATTTCTTGAACTCCTTTTGTCACCCACCCATCTTCCCATTTCCTGTCCAAGAACATAAATCAGAACATAACCCATATATTATCATATCAATCTCTTATCACTTTTCGATCAAGATTCACCTCATTAAAGTTTTTTTAAAAATCAAAAAAAGAGACCCAAAACAGACGATCATAAACCATTTTCTCTCCTCGTTCTTCTTCTTCTTCTTCTTCACTTCCCTCAAACACTGCCCCCAGAAAATGTGGGCGGAGTTTGATCAGCGATTGGGTTGCAGTGTCGTCGCGAGGTGGCGAAAAGACAGCGGGTGTCGTCCCAACGTCTTCTTCTCCTCACTTCTTCAGATGAGTAGATTTTTTCGAGGATCCTTTCCAAAAGTGCACATAGAGCTCCCATTCTCTCCCCCTCACCTTTCTCTTTGCTGTTCTTTTTCTTTTTTTTCAATAGAGTAAACATACACAAACATAGTTTTTCTTTTGCTTTTCCATTTTGTTCTCCTCTTGTACACTATTTCTTCATTTCATTTTCTTACTGCTCGAATGCACCATTTTTGCAGCTGACACTGGATCATAAAGAGTCTGAAAATCGAGTTCTTTGCGTTCGGAGTCATCCAAATACAACTATGAGAACCATGGAAATTCCAACGTCTGTCGATGAAGATGTAAGTTTTGAAAAGCTTGATTTTTTAAATTTTTTTTTGATTTCATAAGATTTCATCATCTAATTTTAATCTTCTTCATATTTCTAATGCTTTCAAAAACAAAGAATTTCCATATATTGTCATCATCATTTATCACTCTCAAGTTTGAACCAATTTATCTCGGTTCCTGTCAAAGGTACAAAAAAGTTGTCAACTGATAAATTGTTTATCATAATATCAGAAACATTATTGCAGTTGACACATTTTTGATATCTCTACTAGGAGCCGAGTTAATAGAGCTCAAACTGGGCAGGGTGTGGACCCTTTTATTGTTCCAAGATACCTCCGGAGGGCCCTTCTATCATAGGTTTCACGGTATTTGAAAAGTAAACTTGCTCTAGCAACAACTTAAAATCAATCAACGATTTTTTCTAATCAGAAAAGGAATTACCTTCTTTTTGTTGCAAAAATTTGTCTTTCCTCTGAAATTCCAGGCATCATCATTTCCGTTTGTGTCGTGTACACAACAATTTATTACGAAAGTGTGTATGTAGGTACATACAAAAATATTGTCTATTTTTTTTTAGCCCTCTCCCTATAGGTATACGCATATAAATTACGTACAATAGAAATTGCGATGAGTCACTCCGAAACCGAGGTTCCTATTCAGAACACTGTCCCTTTTTTTGCCTCCTCCATCCGAAGACTTTTCCTCTTCCAATCATTATCATCGAAAAATTTTAAAGGGTTTTTTGACAAAAGAGACAAACGACAGCTAATCAATGGTGATAATCTCCCCCAAAAAATAGTGTGTAAATATTGGAGAGTGCTAAACACTCGGATGGTCTTGACGATATATAATGGATACCGATAGAGAGTGCGGAGACAGACAGTGTATTAATTAATGGCACTGGTTTTTTTTGGAGTGATAGAAAATTGGGTAAAAATAAACAAAAAGGCATTCTATGGAATTCCAGAGAGAAATTATGATATCATTCCTTTTATCCAGGCATGGGCTGATGTCATCGATTTGATTAAAAGAGATACAAGCAGTCAAACTGCTCCAGCCATTGAAGGTGAGCAATCAATCAGAATTAAATGATTTAACCCCAGAAAAATTTCAGTCCAAGACCGGCGATGGGCAATTTCCCCACTGGTCACTCCCAACATTGGTTCCGCTGGAATTCCAAACCATCGTATGGCCCGGTTCAATGTTCCAACTCGTGAGATACCAAGTATGCAACTTCCACCGGCTCCACATTTTGCTCCACCATTCTCTCCACAACCACCACCACCAGTTCAACAAGTTCCCAGCTACAGTCCACCACATCATCCAAACAGCTATCAATATCAAGATATCTATTATCAGCCTCCAATGACTTCTTGTTATGACGTGCCAACCACATCATATGAGAATCCACCGTATTATGCAGAGGTGCCACCGGTTGTGGCTCAAACAGATATTACCTATATTCAAATGAGCCCGCCGAAAATTCGTCAGAGTGTCACTCCTCCGTCAAGTCCCGAAGCAACACTTGGATCGTTAGCTTCACAGTTACCAGCTATCAGAACTGATAATCCTATTCATCGGTCAGTTGAATTTCAGAATTTTTTGAAATTTTTTGGTTTGGACTACCGAAAACACTTAATAGAACGCCATGCCTAACTCAAAAAATTGAGTTAGTTTACCCTATAGATGGCCACCCAAACCATCTGTTTTAAGTTTCCTGTTAAAGTTATTGAGAAGTTGTCAACTAGCAAAATGTTTATCATAATATGGACACTATTTTATTAGTTGATTACTGGTTGATATCTCTTATCATAACCGAGATATAGCAGCTCGAAATTAGAGACTTAATTCGGTAGGTACATATATTAGGGGTTACAAGGTGTGCAAAGGATGTAGAAGTACAAAATTAACAATTCAGGGGTTTAAAACTTAAGTTTTTCAGATATTTTGTACCGCCGAATTGAGGATTTTGTGCCCCTAAATTCTTTTGTACACAAGGTGGACGGTTTGGGTGATCTTCTATTAGAGTGTTTATCTCGGTTCCTGTCAGAGACATCAAAAAGTAGTCAACTAACAAATTATTTTGATATCATAATTGATATTTTATCAGTTCATTACGTTTTGATATCTTTCACAGAAAACGAGATTAAAGGAGGCGAGACAGCAAAAATTTCGGGGGACAGTTCGGGGGACGAAATCGCGCCGCGCTAATGTAGACCATCGGTCGTCAGGCGCCTTCGCGCCCCCGTAGCTCAGCCGGTAGCAGCGCTGTACCCCTGAGCTGCCGGTCATGAGTTCAACTCCTCATGGGGGTTCTCTAGGCAAAATATCAGAAAAACTTTTTTTTGATGTCTGGCCCCCTTTAAAGAGGAAGGGATATGAAACTCAAGCTTAAAGAGCCCTTCTATTACAGGGGTTTACTTTAACCTACCGTAATCTTTTCATCAAAAGCATTCCACTAAAAGCGTTTCATAATTTGCTATCCGTTTTGATAAAACGCGCAAAGAAAAAAACCGGGAAACCGGCGCGGCAAAACGATAAAGAATATGCATGCGGTTTCAAATCGATTAGCTGTTTACAACCACATAAATCTTCTTTGCAAAATGGAATCTCAATGTTTTGTTTTCTCTTTCGACTTGAGGCCACTGGCGGCAATATGAAAAGAGTGGTTTTGGCAAAACTTCCTCAAACAAATTGGCCTGTGTGTATCTTTTACCTTGTCATGCAAATCAGTGCATTCCAAAGAATTGCGCGGGCGGCTCACAGTAGGTGGTCCTAACTGCCACTTTCTTTCATTTTCCGCCAAATTACCGCATCTGGTTTCCACAAGAAACACAGAAACAAATTGAAGTTAGACAGACGAAAAGGGGTCTGATACTGATGCCACGTCATAGTGTTAATTGAACTGCTCAAATATTGGAGAACTCTGAATCTTGAAAATCCAGTTACCTAGATATTAGTCACTGTTTAGAGTCTATTTCTGCCACCCCCGCCGCTGCTAGTAATTTCTCCATGTTTGTTGACATAATACTTTTTTCTCTTTTTTTTTCGATCGGAGCGTGTCGACAGACACGGTCAACGATCAGCTTAGCGGGGGCTGTGTTCCGAAAAGAAGAATCACAGATAATCAATCAAGTAGTCGTCGACATCAGAAGAAATTCTCACGTTTCTCTTTTCATTGATAAACGAACGACTTCCGGATGGAAGTGCCCCCGAGTCTCCAAAATCTGTCAATTAAAAAAATAGAAGAATTTCTTCGTACATCATCTCAGGGTCACACATTCATGTTGCATTATTTATCGCCTCGCGCAACAAACAACATCATTCTTTTTGCTTCTTGTCATCACCACTACACACAAAATTCCGCTCCTCTTTTCGTCCTTTTTTATCATCTCTGATCATCAATGAATTCGATTACAGACTACCGCACTACGACCCACGCGACGATTCAACTCGATCCACGTCTCCCGATTCTCCCTCATCGGGCGATCAATCTCCATCACGTCCGGCTAGAGTGCCAAAACTGGGGAACAAGTCTGTCGTGCACGCTTGCACTTATCCAGGATGTTTGAAAAGGTAGATATTACTGTAGTTTGAAATGAATTATGGCTAGTTTCAGGTATTCCAAGTCATCCCATCTGAAAGCTCACGAGCGGACACACTCTGGTGAAAAACCATTTGTGTGCAAATGGCCAAATTGCTCGTGGAAGTTTGCTAGAAGCGATGAGCTTACAAGGTAACATATACATTCCTATGTACAGTACCGTTTTTTAGCTGATTTTTAATCATTTTGACCATTCTCAGTAGTCTAGAGCTCGGCTGTCAAGTTTTCTATCGCTCTAAAAAATTTAGAGAGTGTGAAACAGCCTAGATTGAAATTTTTTAATGTACAGAATTTTTTGAAAATTCCTCTAATTACCGATTTCTGAAGGACATATCTTGTTGGCTAGTTTTCAGTACAAAACGGGATCTCTCTTCGAAACTAAGAAATAGCTGAGAACTAGGAATTTTCCAAGAATTCTATGAACGCAAAATTTTCAATCTAGGTCTCTTTTACATCCTCAAAAATTTTCAAACTGATCGGAAACTGGACAACGAAGCTCCAGACTTCTGAAAATGATCGAAATCAGCGAAGAACAAGTTTTTGTATACAGTAATCATTCTAATAGAACGCCACCCAAACCGTCAACTTTGAACCCTTGTATCTCATTTATTGTAAAAGATATCAAAAAGTGGTTAACTAATTAAATGTTGTTGATATTATGATAAACATTTTGCCAGTTGACCACTTTTTGATACCTTTGACAGGAGGCGTGATACATGGGCTTAGCCTTGATGGTTTGGGTGGCGTTCTATTAAAATGTTAACGGTATCTTATAGACACATTTCTGTACTTTCCCCTCGGCCACAGTTACCGTAGTCTCTAATTTTCAGACACATGAGAAAGCATACTGGAGACAAGCCGTTCCGTTGTAGTATCTGTGACCGCACCTTCGCCAGATCCGATCACTTGAGTCTTCACATGAAACGTCATAGTCCTCCACATACATTGATTGCACAAAAAGTGTGAAAATTTGTTTTATCAGATTTCATTCCGAATACTGCTTTAACTTTCTATTTATATATCCCGTTGTTTTGTCTCTCTCAAAATTCCCCTATTATCAGTGTTATCTCCGTTCCCACTCTCAATTCTAAAAAAATACTGGTTTACGGTCAAGACTCTTTTTATAATCTTTTCCGCCTCTTTTATTTCTTAAAGAAAACTTCATCTGCTCTACTGCCCTTTAAAATTCCCAATGTTTGCTAATATGAAAAATAAACTCCATTGCTATTAGTTTTGAAATTTATCGAACACGAAACAGAATGGAGACAAAACAGTCGATGGATTGTATCCTCAATGATCCGAGCGCCAAATCCAAGCCGGTGGTTCCAAAACTGATCACTGTTAATCCATTGAATATTATCATTGAACCGAAATCGGGCCAAATTGATAAGACTCTGGAATTGAAGTGAGTTTGAAAGATTTTCCATTAGAAGTAAAGTTTTTTTTTCTGTCTATGTGCAGAAAAACATGTAACGTAAAACCTGTATTAAAAGAGCCCCTTTAATAGAAAAGCCCCTCTAATAGAACGGCCCTCGGAGAGGGGTTTCGAAAAATAGAAGCCCCCCCCCCCTGTAATTGATGAGCCCACTTAAAAATATGTTGTTTGAAATTAAACGTTTCCATGCGTGGTCAGTAAAAAAAATCCAGAAATATCACAATTTCACATAATTTTTTGTTTTAACACTTTTTTGTTTCAAAACTGGCTCAGTTTTAACGAAATTGTCAGAAAAAATTGTACTTCATTGAGAATCTGAAAAAAAATCTGATTTCCGAAGAATCCAAAAATCGACAATTCCAAACTCGTAGAAATTCACAATCAAAAAAAATCGTATATTTTTTTTCATATTTTCAGAAACATCTATCCCTGTCGTGTTGCTTTTCGTATCCGCACAAACGGACCAACTAGATACACCGTATGCCCAAACAAAGGGTTTTTTGAGTATTGGAGAGAAAACAATGATTCGAATTTCGATGATCGACGGAAGCAAGTATCAATCCAATCATCAGTTCATTGTACAATCGATGCCAGCTCCTGGAGACTTTGCCGATCGAAAACTCATATGGAAGCAACCGAATTATCTTGGGATTCTGACCACCACTCGGGTTAAGACAATGTTAGCAGAGATTTTATTCAAACAAAAGTTGGAAAATGATAATTTTCAGGAGACCTGGATTGTCTTTGAGCAAGAACGGTGGACAAGCGACAAGTCCAGCATTGTCAACCTCAAACGAAGGTGGTGGAGCAAGATCTCCAGCATTGATGGATTCAAATGAATCGCTAGTAACTCCAAGTGTCCCCAGTTGGACCAAACCAGTTTCCTCGATTGATCATGGAAAGTTTGCTGATAATATCAACGATTTGACAACTCAAGTGAAGAAAGCGATTGCTGAAAAGAATACGCGTGCCAGTGAGATGGTTTCAGTTGTCAATCAGATTAAGTCGATTGAAGTTTAATTGGATAGACAAGCTCAGTTGGTTAACGAAATGAGTGAAAGGGTTAAGAAGGGAGAGGTTCAATATTCGGTATTCATTCAATTGGAAAAAACGTTTAAAATTCATTTTCCCAGAATCTTGTGATGCATGAGAGAACTCTGAGAGCTGATTTGGAACGTATGAAGAATAACGAGCATGATCCATCTGGTCCGTGAAATTATTGAACTGATAAAATTAAGATGAATAAATTGAGACCCGAAATTCTTTATTGTTGTTCAAAAAAATTCCAAAAATTCATAATTGAGTATCGTTATGATGAAAATCAAAATTTGGAAGAATTGTAAAATAATCTGCATTTGAGAGAAAGATGACGTCAGATATTGACGAGTTGCGGATGAACGGGAGAGGTAGTCGGAAGTTGTCGGATAGAACTTGGGATAGATGATTGAAGAGCTGGAAGTTAGATTTTAAGAGTTAATAAAATAGTGAAACAACTTGAAAAATTTCTGTTTTCAAAAAAGTCATTTCTTCAAAAGCTTAAGCTCCGACCAAATTTTTTTGAAGGGCCCCTCATTGTCTTGAGGTCTAATTAGTTTGAGCTCAATTATCTCAACTCCTGTGCAAGATATAAGAAAGAAGTCAACTGATAAAACACTTTTACATTATGATTAACAATTTATCCGTTGACAACTTTTCTATATCTTTGACAGAAACTGAAATAAATTGGCTCAAAGTTAAACGTTAGGGTGCCCTTCTAATGAAGATTTTACGGTAGTTGGGCCACCCAAGTTTTCGAAATTGGCAAAGTCGGGTTTCCCAGTGGTAGGAAAACCCGTCGTTATAGCCTAAGCCTAGAATTTTCAAAAAAAAAAAATTTCAGCGAAAAATGTTCGAGAATTTCAGACTTTTTTGACATGAATTTTCTTTTCTAATTTTTTTTGTTGTTTTTTTTTGAAATTATTGGCTTAGCCCCCTTTAATTGTTTACCTGCTCCGTAAATGTATTATCCAACCATCGATTCGCGATTTGCGACTTTAATCGAATGAACAGCTCATGCTCGCTACTGTAATCCCATAATTATTTGCCTACGCATACATACATGTATAAGCTCACTTATGTAATGGGGTGACCATGAAACTGCGAAGCTGTGTCTTCTCCTGCTTGTCTGGATACGTCTCCAGACTTGTTATATGTATAATAATTGTTATTGTGCCTGTGTGTGAAAAAATAAATTAAAAGCAGGTGAAGGAAACAAATAAGGCTCACTGGATAGACTCTGGATTTTGACACTTGTACTCAAGCAGAGGTAGCTGACTGATTTCATAGAAGGAAGGGATGTGAAATTGCTGAAATTTTGATAGAATTTAAATCTCCAACAATAAAAAATACCTATCAAATAATCCCTTTTCACATATTGCATCTAACATTTCAGCTAGTAGTTTTTCATGAATGTGGTACGCCACATGGCGTTGTATGTTTTCATCTATGACTTCTTCTGGAATAAATACAGCTGGCTCGCTGACCGGCAACTCGATTTCTCCTTCAATAAAGTATCGTATCTGTTTGGAAGGTGTCATATATGGTGCCTTTTTGAACATTCGGTATGACATTTCAGATGAATCTGAAAATTTATTAGTGACTTTTATACTTGTAATAGAAGGGTCCTCAAGTATGAGCCAATTTATCTCGGGGTTTATAAAAGATATCAAAATGTGGAATACTAACAAAATATTTCTGATATTATCATAAACATTTTATCAGTTGACCGCTTTTTCATATCTTTCACAGTAACCGAGATAAATTAGCTCAAAGTTACCATAAACATTCTAACAAAACGCCACTTCTAGCTTTGAATTTTGAGCTTATTTATCTCGGTTACTGTGAGAAATATCAAAAAGTAGTCAACTAAAAAAATATTTATATTGTTATTATAAATATTTTGACAGTTGACTACTTTTTCATATCATTCACAGGAAACAAGATAGACAGATTCAAAGCTGACGGTTTAGAGGCGTACTATTTGAGTGTTTACGGTAAAAAAGTTGGGGGGGGGGGGCTTTTATTGCAGGTTACGGTTTATGTAAAATCATACTGGAGAATAGAGGAAAGTCGACTTGAAGTTCATAAATGTCGCTTCTGATCTTTTTATCAAGTGATTCCACCAGTTTCAGGCACACTATGTCTCTTATATTTTCTCTATAAATTAGAATTTTAGAATTTCACTGTTGACATGTGAATCTTACTCAACTGCATCGTAAATCAGTGATGTTACAAACCATCCATCTGTCACAGGATCGTCAATTATAACCGGAGAGAAGTCACTGAAACCGTTTTTCGTATTAGAAAGTAGCTTACCGTAAAACCTGTAATAGACCTAACTTCAAACTTTTAGCCAAATTTTCTCATTTTCTGTCAGAGATACAAAAAAGCTATCAACTTATGAATTGTTTTTCATAACATCGCACACATTTTATCTGTTGACACATTTTTGATATCTCGCATAGGAATTGAGATAATTGATCTCAAACTTGGCAATATGGGGGCCCTTCTGTTACAGGTTTTTTGTTAATTAAAACTTACCAATTAATGACTCCATGTAGAAAAGGTAATCCATTTGCAAAACTCGGAACCAATGCTCCGAGTGCTGCTTTTTTGAACTTCAGCTTCACGGAAAATGAGTCATGGAACTTGAAAAAGAAAAATTTGCGAATGTAGTTTCCAGATATTGTTATAGAGAAATCAGTTATCTGAAAAATAGACTTTGAATAAGGGATTATTTTGGCTTAACTGTACTCACATTCAAATAGTAGTCTTTAAATTTACCGGCGAGTTCAACGGAGAAATTTGAAAATTTGATGTTTGAGACAGTTGTGTCTTTTAAAACAACTCCACAAATGAAACGGGATGCCTCCATAGGAGGTAGTTTTGAATTATGAATTTCATTTTTGAATTGAGAAGACATTGATGACACATATTTTTGAATGGCATTTTGGGAGACCTAAAAAATAATGAATTACCTAAAAATTCAGCTATTCCGAGTTCTCACGTCTATGATGAGATTCTGTCCTACTAATAATAAAGGGTAAATGAGAAGAGGTAGCAGAAGTTTGAGCATTTTTGGCTGAAAAAATTGGAGCACCGAAATGAGGCGATATTAAAAGAAGAGCACTCAAAAATGAGCCGTTTATTTAAAACTAAGCACGACTGCGTTTATTTAGCATGTTTAAGAAAGATGTTCATCGATGATTCATCGGCAAAACACATAAATTGTGCAATAAAGATGAGAGAAAACTCTTGTTATAGAACGAAAAAGGAATCAGACTATACAAGGGAAAAGAAGAAGAAGAAGCATAGAAGGAAAGAGTGTTTGCATTGAAAAGAGGAGTATCGATTCTCTATTACAATGCTGCGATTGTTATCACCTTGTTCATAACTCTTTTTGTATTTTTATTATTTTGATAATGAATGACTTTTATTGGTTGGTTAAGAACCAAGTGGTTCCAGAAGTTTCAGTTTTTTGAATTGATAATAGAACACCTCAAATAGAATTTTTCAGTGAACTACTTTTTTATACCTTTTACAGGAATCAATATGAATTGTCTCTCAGTTGGAAAAACTCAAAGTTGGAAGTCAGAATTTATGGTATTCAAAGAATTGACGAAAGTTATCTAGTCATTTTTGTTGTTGCGAATCTTTTTTTTCAAATCAAAAATTTGCTTGAAAATTACTTTTTTTGCCTTTAACAAATAATATTCATTGAGGCCTGACAGTCAGCTTCATTGAATGTAAAATCTACAAAGAAGATCACCGAAAAATCTGTAATAGATGAGCCCCATACTGCCAAGTTTAAGCTCAATTATCTCAATTTCTATGCAAGGTGTCAAAAATGTGCAAACTGACAATACACTGCTGATATTATGATAAACAATTTATCAGTTGACAACTTTTTGATATCATTCACAGGAACCGAGAAAAATTGGCTCCAAGTAAAAGAGAGGCACTTCTATTAGCAGGTTTTACGGTAGATTTGATATAGTTAATTTAATATGACCCCCGTGAAAGCCTTACAACAATGGGGCTGAATTCAAGTATTCAGAAAGGTAAAGAAGTAAATTAGTATTAAGTTTACAACGTTCAAGTTTAGGATCTTCTTGGGATCCCGTTTAGGTTTCCACCACTTCTAGGACTCCGAGGACATGCTGTCGACGGCAGTTTCCAGGATGAGCAGAAGTTGAATCAAGATGATAGGAAGAACGAAATTGAACGGAAGGTAAGGAAACAGGAAGTTTCAAATTTCAGTTTCCAATGTTAAATTTATAGGATTCAACAATTTCTAGGACTTCGATGACAGCATCGACGGCAGTTTCCAGGGTTGGCAGGATTCATATCGAGATTGTAGGAGGAACGAGATTGAAGGAAAGGTGAGTAAATGGGAAGTTTCAAATTTGAGTTTCCAATACTAAATTTCTAGGAGCTGCTTGGTATGTATCGACTTTGGGAACAGTTTCAAGGGCAGTTACCGGGATGGGCAAGAGTCGAATCAAGATGATAGATGCATGAATGAAATTGAACGGAGGGTAAGGAAATGGGAAGTTTCAAATTTCAGTTTCCAACGTCAAATTTTTAGGAGCTGCTGATTGGTTTCGCGACTTCTGTGGTTTCCAGGATAGTTTCCAGGAATGGCAGAAGTCGAATCGAGAGCAAAACGAAATTTAAGGTGAGGAAATGGGAATTGGTGATTTCGAAACTTTGTCATAAAAAATGGTCTTTTGAAAAATTTTGATCAAAAACTTCACGAAAACTTTTCGTGGTCGTTTAGAAAATTGTAGAATTGGTCTCTTAAAAAGAACCCACGGTTCAGAAAAATAAAATAAAATTCAATAATCAGTTTCCAAAATTCAATTTCTAAGTGTTGCTTAGTTTCGCAAATGCACCAACTTCCAAGGACAGCTTCTAGGATTGATTGGATTCGAATCAAAATGATAGGAGGAGCGAAAGCAATTTAAAGGTGAGGGAATGGGAATCTTCAGTAAAATTTTTAGATCAGCGGGAGAAGTAAAAAAAACGAAATTTAAAAATCGCTCTACTTTTCCCCCAACTGAAAATTAAATTTTTTGGAAAATTTTGACTTTTTCTTTCAACATTCCCCAATCATATCACTTTCCAGAAAAGCTCAAATAATTTTTAAAAAATTTTACCTGAAGTTTTCAATTTTAGATTTCGAACGTCTTGGGACAAGAGAGGGACCGAGCTGGCGTCGGGATGTCAAAATTCAGTGAACTTGGTTTCTTTTTGTGATCAAGATAAAAACCTACCAATTCTGGAGAAAGAACAAGAAACTTTGAGAATCGGCTATCAGAAAATTCTCGAAGAAAGTCATCAAAAATCGCTGGAAATCGAAGAATTACAGCATAAAAATTTGAGGTTGTCTGTGAAAAACGAGACGAATGAAACGCAGATTCAGCAGTTGACCGATAATTTGGCACAATCCAAATTATCGATTGAAGAGGAAACTGCTTGCTCACATTTTTCAACATAAAATCCAATGTCTCATTTGCGAGAATTCGGCTGAACCTGGTGGAGATCAGAACATTGGATGATTGTGCAAGAGAAGATTTCATTCGAAGGTTTTTATAGATTTTATTAATTTTAAAAAAATTGAAAAACTTTTCAGTGTCCCATCAACTAGCTCAAAGAGAATCAACAATGTCCAATAGACCTTCTGAAATTTTGAAAAGAACATCTTGGATCCATAAATTTTTAGCCTTGTTTTTTCTTGTTATTTATCTGTTATCTGTTCATTATTCAAGTTGAATGAAAAACGAAAAATCTCTGAAATTTGTTTAGCAGAACTGTTCAAAAATCATAGTTGGATTAAACAAAAACAAAGAACAGTTAATAGTACATGCAGAAAAAAAAACAATTTCAAAAATAAGATCAATTTCTGTTGGAATTGAGGAATGTTCCATTGCACGACGGACACTCTTGGCGGGTTTTGAGCCAATTTGAGGCACACTGAAAAAAGCGAAAAATCGATAATTGATTGTTTAAGAAGAATACAAACATTAGTATGAGATGGGCATCTGCATTGGAAGCATTTGTAGATTTGATTGTCAGATTTTAATTCGTGTCGACAAATTTTGCAATTTGAAGTTCCCGGATTACGGTAGTCGGATTCAGAGCATTCGGATCCCGGATTACTGTTATATGGAGAGTCTGGGGTACTGCGGACGACAAGCTGCCGAGGATTACTGCAGTTTGATCCAAGAGACGGTGATTCAGGTCTACGGTAGTTGACTGGGTTATTGTAGTCCCGACCAGATGTTGTGGCAGGTGGATTACTGTAGCTATTTCCTGATGGCGTGGCACTGGATAATTTATCCAGAAGCTGTTGAATCATTTGTTGCTTCACTTCGTTTTCCGTTTTCATCCGAATATTCTCTGCATGGAACTCTTTGATTTCTCTTCTATTTTCTTGAATTTCCAGATGCAGAATCTGCATTTTTTCTTTCCCGATCTCATCTTCAGCTTTTTGATTTTCCAAGTCAACAACTTTTTGATTCAGAACTTCGCTCGCTTGCTTCGCCATACCCAACTCGTATTCCAGATGTGAAATTTGATCCAGAAACTTTTGTTTGTCTGGAAATGGATAAATTAGCGTTGGAGCACATTTACTGAGCGTGGTACTTTGAATGTTCCTCCTTGAGCTCAGCGATAGTGTCGATCAGATGGGCGGCTTCAGAAACCAGTTTCTCGTTTTCTTCAGCGATTTTCAGATTTTCCTCAACTTTTCTGAAATTTTCTGGATCATGCCTAGCTTTTTTTTAAGTCCACTTACCTTTTTAACTCCTCTATTTCAGCCGATTTCTTTTGAATTTCTTCATCACTTTCCTTCTGGGTTACTTTATGTTCTTGAAGTATCTGAAGAGATGGAGAAGTTTCTGGACTCTTCTTCTGAGATTCCGAAGTTTTAACGTCTCCTGAAGCTGATTCTGAGGTCTCTTTAGTAATTTTCAGATTTTCAATTGTCTTCTGATGTGCTTCTGGAGATTTCTGAGATACTGTAGATAATTGCTCACTGGATTTTTTGCCTTCTGGAGACATTGTGTCTTCTGTAGCTGCGTCTATCGGTTCAAATGTCTTCCAAATTTCTGATGTCCTCTTTTCTCTTTCACATTCTTGACATTTGAATCCGTAAATTCTGTGGCATCCGTTTTGATTGTGTAAGAATTTTTTGAACTGAAAAATTCGAAATTATCGACATTTTAAGACAAAAAAGATATTCACTGTCGGACGTCTCTCCAGAATACAATTCAATTGGCAGTGTTCAACAGCATCAAACAGATCACAAGTTCTTAGCACGCTCCCTTTTTTGCGTTTGTCAACTTCAGAATACACTAATTCTGCGTGATTCTGAATCTCTGGAAAGATCGTGGTGAGACCCAAATGAGCCAATTCGTTCTTCAGATTCTGAACAGTGAATCCATCATTTTTCGCGTTTCTAATTTCCTTGGCCGTGTGAGGAAGTGGTGTCGCGAAGTATGTTGCTTTAATCGTGTTCAAGTGTGTAGACATCGTGAAGTATGGGTTTTTCTGAAATTTCGTATCCTTAATTAAATTTCCTGGACTTCTTCTGGCTTAAATCCGACCTCTTCTGACTTGAATCCTAATTCGCATCCTAAAAGCATCTGCTCAGCCATATTCCAAGAAGGCAATTTTTGGAAAAGTTGGACGCTAAGAATCAAATTTTTCATAAAATCGAAAAATGCGTCAACTGTCGGAACACAGAATAGCTTGTTGTTCAGAGGACTTTGAATTGGGACAGCTCTATCTTTGGCACGGTGGATTGGGTAGCGGATGAACTGAAAAAAGCTATATTGGATAAAAAACAGGCGGATCTTTGGGAAGTCAATTGAATTTTCGACATTTATCGATTTTCCCACCTCGATATCCCTAATCTGATCTCCGAACTTCTTCTGAACGTCTTCCAAAGTCATAGCTTCGATAAACATTTCATCAAAAAAATTTGTTTCTTTTATCGATTTGTTGATTGCATTAAATAGCTCCGCCTCCATCACGAATCGTTGACCTCCATGATCCTCGAATAGTCTCACTGTAGGTCTTGGACCACCCAACAAGAAAACCTCCAATCGATTATCGATTATTTTTTGAAGTAATCTTATTATTCTCTCAGCAGTCGAGTACAAAATAGTGAGAAGATAGGCGAAATTAGGTGCCGCGTGGAATTCAAGAAAATAATTTCCTAGAATTCTCTCGAAAAGTGCGGCTTCTGAAACTCCCCAATCGATTTTTAACAAATTTTTAAATCTCGTGAAGTTCTGGAAACTCGAGATTCATGATCTCAGTCATCATTGGGAAAAACTCGGAGGGCTGCAAATTCATTCCATTCAAAAAAAATAAATCAATTCAAAAAACTTACATTTGTCCCAAAGGCTTTCATCTCTACTTCAATTTCTTTTTTAATAGAGACAAAATCATGTTCGTCAAATTTCAGAAATTCCACTCTTCTCAGGTTCTTCAGCTCTTGAGATCGTAAGAAAAGGGCGAGAATAACGCGAAGGAGTTGGGGTTTCTGAAACAATATCAATAGAGCGAATTTGCTTATTTTCTATTTTTACTTCAAATGGATAAACTTCCAGTGTTAGATTCTGCAGAACTACATAGGCATCGGACTTGCAAAGGTACTGCTCATCTTTAAGGCTTCGGTAGATCACTGGAGTTGTCTGAAAAGAAATCTATATTGTCAATGGAGCGAATTTGCAAAAAATACGTAGTAGGGATACATAGGATGGCCATTCGCATCGGCGTACACTCCACTTCCAGGAGAGCTTCTATAGATCTTCACGTTTTCTGCCAGCTCTTCAGACGATCCATACATTCCTTCAAATAAAAATTTAATATTTATCAATGGAGCACTTTTTTTTCATACTTAGACTCAAATTTGAACTTTCAAATAATTTGGCAACCAGCTCTGCTTCTTTATCTCCTACGTTACTCGTTGGCGCTTCGAATTGCGATAAATCTGATGACATTTTCATTGTTATCTGAAACAAAAACGCGATCTTTTGACAAAAATGACAACACAAATAGCGCACTTACACTGTCCAGAATATAATTTTTAGTGGAGAGAAGTACACATTCAGGATATAACACAGCTTCAGGGCTGTTCAGATTCATTTTGAGCGTTGTGAATCGAAAATTGAGCTGAAAAGGATATTCTCTTTGAATATTCAAATACCTGATTTTTGAGTTATTTTCAACAATTTCTGGTTTTTTTTTTTTTGGAAAATATCAAGTCTGATTCGCAATTGTTTTGCTGAAATTTGGAAAAATTATAATTTCGACCGCCAAAAAAATTGTCCGAGAGGACTACACTGTGAAATCGCTTCGAGACCGATTGGTATTATCATGTGCGCCTTTAAGCATTTAGGCGGGAGTTTTCCAAATTTAGGATTGAACTTGATGATTTCCTCTCATTTTCCTCGTTTTTTCTCGCAGAATCTCATCGTTTTTCAGCTCAAATGGAGAAAATAAAGCAATATTTTTTTGTTTTTTTTCCCTGAATTCCCAGTTTTATCCCGTTTATTCACAAAATATCCGATTTTGAACTGATTTCCAATAATTTTCAGATTTTTTCGGAAAATTTCAAGCCGGATTCGCGAATTTTTGGGCTAAAATTTGAAAAAATAATTCCGAACCACCCAACACTTTGTCCGAGAGGACTACACTGGGAAATCGCTTCGAGACCCATTTGTATTATCATGTGCGCCTTTAAGCTTTTTAGGCGGGAGTTTTGGGGTTACAGCCCAAACTTGCTGTTTTCCCAAAATTTCCAGTTTTGTTCCGTTAATTTATAATTTCCAACCGCGAAATACATTGTCCGAGAGGACTACACTGTGAGATCGCTTCGAGAGCCATTGGTATCGTCGTGTGCGCCTTTAAAGGTGGGGGACATGAAAAAAATAATGTTCTCGAAATTTCGTTTAAATATGCCTCTCGAGGAGTTGAACGTGTGGGACGAGGATTGAGGGTGCGGCGCCGCTACCGACTGAGCTACACGGGCAAAGAGGAAGCGGTCACCCGATTGCAAACATAAAGGCGAGGACGACAGCTGTACGCAGAGTGGCATTAAGCGTTGTACACCGTCACGGTAGAATGCATACTCTGGCCCCAAAAAATCCCCCGCAAAATCTCCTGCCCCCCCCCCCTTTAAGCTTTTAGGCGGGAATTTTCAACTTTTAGGATCGAACTTGTTGATTTCCTCTCATTTACCACATTTTCTCGCAGAATCTCATCGTTTTTCAGCACAAATGGAGAAAATAGAGCAGTATCAGTGCCCGACGGTCAGCTGTGGCAACTATGACATCCATTTCTCGCACGTCAAAGAATATGTCGTTTCAAATGTAAAACGAGGCACTACCTTAGTTGGAGGGGGCCACCCAACTAAGCGCCTAAAGCGAACCGTTCATGAACCCCCGAATATCGATGAAATCAAAATTTCAGCTCGCTGTAGAAATGCCGCCGACGTGTCAGGCTCCACTAGTCTCGATTCCAGGTGACGTCGCGGATTATGGTGTGAAATTCGCAGAGACCTCGATAAATCCCACTGATGGACGGTTTCGGATGTACGATTCGATTGAAGAATTAACAGCGAACATCAGAAAATTCAAGAACTTTCCGGAAGCCCATCGATACTTTGAAGAGCAATCGTTCGCGTTTGATGTAGGTTTTCATCGATTTTTATTGACTTATTGAATTTTCCTTACAGCCAGTGACGATCTATACAAATTTGGAAGGCGAGGAGTACATCAATAAGTCGGATATGTACGCGCTTCTTCAAAATATGACACTTCACATCTCGCCGCGAGAGGATAAATTCCAGCCGATGTCTCATATCTTTATCGGGAGATATTTGAAAAAACTCCACCAGAAATCGAATGGATTTTTGGAATTTGTGAAAGTGGCTGATATCGATTTTGAGCAAATCGAGAAAGAGATCCAAGAAGCGCATAGCACTGCGGTTTGTAATGGAGAAACAGACATAGATGGAATGCAATTTTTCAGACAAACAAAGAAATTCAAGGAATGGTGAACATGGCTAAAAGTGCGTCGAAAAAGACGTTGAATGCTGAGATGAAAAGATTGAATGCGGAGGGATGGAATAATCGGGATTTCAAAGTGGAATTCGAAGTTTGGAGAATCACCGATACCAACATTGTTGCCGATGTCTTTCGACAAACTTTCCTGGATTTGAAGGCGATGATCGGCTTGAAGAAGATCGTCGAGAAACGGACTCATCTGTTCAAAGTGCGTTTTTAAATCCTAATTTTCGAGTTTTTTTGTGATTTTCAAAGGGTTCCTAGCTCGAAACTCAAATTTCGCGCCTTTTTTGTTCAGCGGGGCGTGATTTTATGGCGTCTCGCATTTGCGCTCAGCTTAACAAAAAATGCGCGAAGGTTGAATTTTAAGCCAGAATGTTCCATGAGGCTCAATTTGGCGAAAAAAAACCCAAAACCCACCTTTTTCCAGTGGAACATCGCCGCGAACGCCTCAAAAGTTCCAATCGCCGTCCGACTATTTGAAGATGGAGAGCTGAGTTAGTGATGAAGACTGAATTGGACAACGCGATAGTGAGATACACGAAAAAAGGAAAAGTGACTGAAGAAGTGGGACCGATCATCAGCACAATCGATTTCAAAGATATCGAGGAGAACTATAAAGAGATTTTTGATAAAATCCAGGTTCTAAAAATATAACAAAATTCGCTCCGAACACTCTAAAGTTTTCAGTTCATTCGCTATCCGATCGCCCGTACAAAAAACAAGCCAGTCTATGTACAGGGACCGAATCGAAGGGATTTCTGTGTGTTGATCGTTGATGGATTCTTCGATGTCATGGCTTCCACTATCATGGGTCCATTCATTTTTCACAAAGCGGAAAATTGGAATAAACTTGGTCCATTCTTCACAGAATTGGATAAGGTTTTCAAGGCGGAATGTGTTAGTTCGAAAATTCAGAAAAATCGATCAAAAATACAATTCTCAGCCACCTCAATCGTTCATCAAAGTCAGATATATCAACGATTTGAGAGCTGAAACTGAGGCGTTTCTGAAGACGATTGATCCAGGTAGACCGTCTTTCGAAGGAGTTCGGCCGATGGATTACGATTTCACAAGATTGGGAGAGACGTTGAGAATCGATAAGACGATTCATCCAAATCTGCCTAATCCCGATCAGTTGGTACAGTTTTTGGTTGGAAGGAAGACAGATCCTATGACGCCCAATGAACTTTACGATGGATTTGAGCAGTGCTTTATCACTCGGATTCTTGTTCAGGAGAAGAATGTATGCCTCTTTTTGTTTTTTTTTTTTAAATAACATTTTTGTCTTTACAGCTCCGAAACTTTGTCCACGTTCAGCAAGGATGTCGCCGCTATCTGATGTCAAAACGAGTATGTGAGGATTGTGAGGCGATGATTGCCTCCTTGGTAACGGATATCACAAATCGAGAGGAGGAAGTTTTCGAATCGGGAATCCGCGAACAAGTCTCGGAAATTCTGGAAAGATCCGTGGACCAGGATAGATCGATGGCTCTGTGGACAGCGGCGCTAGAGTGGAGAGTCGTAGCAATGGGTGGAAAAGTGACGATTAAGGAAGAAGGAAGTCAAGAGGAAGACGATGACAAAACTAATTTTGAGAAGGAAGTGGAACGACAAGGCGTATTGTTGACACAAATCGCTTGCTTGGATTATGAAGAGGATTCGAATCCTGAGGAATCCTAAATTTTGATAGTTTTGTGATCTTTTTCGTGTATATATATATATACTTTTTCAATTTGTCTGTAAAATTATGATTACTAACAACCCAATGAATGTGATGAGTTTCGCTTTGTTTTATTGAGAAGACGAGCAGCAATCGATCTAAAAAACTATTTTAAAAATGCATTGCACTATCTTGCAAGAAAATAAGGGGAAAGTTGTGCGTAGAAAAATGCTCTCGAACCCCAAAATTTACAGAGAAGCGGCATAAATCATGAAAGAAGGTCATGTTACAAAAAAGTCCGCAAACACCACCACCCACAATTACACAAAAACTTTTTTCAACGTGGATTTTTCAGAATTTCTCTCAACCTCAAAATGAATCTGAACAGCCCTGAAGCTGTGTTATCTCCAGAATGTGTGCTTCTCACAACTCTGAATTATGTTCTGGATGATGTAAGTGCGCTCTATCGACGTCAATAGAGCGCGTTTTCCTTTCAGATAACAGCAAAAATGACACCGGACTTGTCGAAATTCAAAGCGCCGACAAGTTATGTAAAAGATAAAGGAGAAGAGCTAGTTGTCAGATTATTTGAAAATTCGAATTTGAGTCTAAGTATGAAAAACAACTGCGCCCCATTGATAAATATTAAATTTTTATTTAAAGGAATGTATGGATCGTCTGAAGAGCTGGCAGAAAACGTGAAGATCTATAGAAGCTCTCCTGGAAGTGGATTGTACGCCGATGCGAATGGCTATCTTTTGTATCCTTACTACGTATTATTTTTTGCAAATTCGATTCATTGACAATATCGATTTTTTGCAGACAACTCCAGTGATCTACCGAAGCCTTAAAGATGAGCAGTACCTTTGCAAGTCCGATGCCTATATAGTTTTGCAAAATCTAACACTCGAAGTTTATCCATTTGAAGTAAAAAATCGAAAATAAGCAAGTTCGCTCTATTGACATTGTTTCAGAAACCCCAAGTCCTCCGTGTTCTTCTCGCAATTTTCCTACGATCTCAAGAACTGAAAAATCTAAAAAGAATGGAATTTTTGAAATTTGATCAAAAGGATTTTGCCTCTATTAAAAAAGAAATCGAAAAAGAGATAAAATCCTTTGGGACAGATGTAAGCATTTTAAAATTAATTTTTGCGTTTCAATAGTGCGAATTTGCAGCCCGCAGAGTTTTTTCCAATGATGGCTGAAATCACAAATCTCGCGTTTCCGGACCTTCATTTAAGATTTAAAAATCTGGTAAAAGTCGATTGGGGAGAACCAGAAGCTGCATTTTTCGAGAGAATTCTGAGAAGATATGTTTTGGAATTCCACGTGGCACCTAATTTTAAGTATCTTCTCACTATTTTGTACTCGACTGCTGAGAGGATTATAAATTTGCTGAAAAAAATAATCGATAATCGATTGGAGATTTTCTTGTTGGGTGGTCCAAGACCTACAGTTAGACTATTCGAGGATCATGGAGGTCGACAGCTTGTAATGAAGGCTGAGCTATTTAATGCCATCAATAAACCGACGAATTTAATAAAAAATGGATTTGATGAAATTTGTTTCGAAGCTATGACTATGGAAGACGTTCAGAAGCAGTTTGGAGATCAAATTAAGGATATTGAGGTGAAAATTCGCGATAGATCGAGATTGTTTCATCTCGAAAAGTCGATATTTTTCGAAAATTTTAAATTTTCGAAATGTATTGTTTCTAAACAAATTTCCGGCTTCATATTATTGTTGTCGGAGAAAAGAAAGGTTGAGACGAAGACAGGTTTTCTCTGCGTCTCCACCTAATATGTGCTATTTAGGCTTGCCGCTTCGAGTTTGCTACCGTATTCAGACTGCAAAAAATACTCACTAACCTTTTTTTCTCAGACATCTATAATATGCTGAAAATTCAAAAATCCGCTTTTTCTTTCTTGCAATAGAGCACATTTGCAGTTCATCCGCCTCCCAATTCTACGTGCCAAAGACAAAGCCGTCCCACTTCAAGGTCCTCTGAACAATCGAGAATTCTTCGTTCTAGCAATCGACGCCTTTTTTGATCTAATGAGGAATGTGATCCTTGGCGTCAAACTTTTCCAAAAAATTCCCCATTGGGGTGTCGCCGAGCCGATATGTGTTAGCTGGTACTTGGCATTCAAGCACGAGGAGGTCGGTGGCTTACAAGGGAACCATGTTTAGCCTTCATCTCAGAATTTCTTCTAAATTTGCTTATTTATAGTTTCGAATACGGGCTTTCTCGTGGTGTATTTGGTTTTCTGCACAAATTTTTATGGGCTGTTTAAGTGATTTCAGTACTAATTTCTCACTTTTGGAGTGAGTTTTTGAAAGGGTTAATGAGAGTTATTCGCTATTTTTGAGTGTGAATCGTAATTTTTGAAGTTTCTCTACAATCTGACAAAGTTTCCTAGTTTTTCAAAACACTTTTTTTTTTGAAAAAATATCGCCATGGGTAACCCCTTTGGCAATTTTTACAATCTTTCAAAAAATTTTAAATGTGCTAAAATGAATTCTAAACGCATAGAAATGATAAAATAAGTCTTTTCACAAAATTCTGTAGCCGACATCCATTTTGAAATCCCACATATTTAAGTGATTTCTTCCGAAACTTCAATGAATCGTAGTCCTTCGAAAATCACCTGTAGCACTCAAATCTTGTGTAGACATAGATTTACATACTTCTTGACAGATTTATCATTGTTCCGCAACCAATATGATCAAATCGGGGATTTTGACTGACATATTGACTAGATAAGGCTTTCCAGTAGTGCTTCAAGAAGTTTTCAGAAATTATTTATTGGATATTTTTCGAAACAAATCCAAAATGAATTTCTCTCTCAAAATAAATCGTTTTTTCGAGCTTTTTTATTTCTCAAATAATAGAGAAAACATAATTTTGATTTTCGAAAAATGCAAAGCATCCCTCCAACATCAAAGAAAAAAAGAAAAAAAAAGAAAATGGACAATGAGGGAATCGAACCCCACTATCTTGTGATTCCTCAGTCCCACTATCCACTCGGCCACTGTTGCTCGTTTTTTCAGCAGTCGAGAATGTATAGAGGAAAGGGGGGAAAGTGGAAAGGAAGGAGGAGAGAAAAAAACAGCATATTTTCAGATGGATTTTTCTCGACTTCTAGAAATTTGTGCAGGAAACCGAATACATCACGAGAAAGCCCGTATTCGAAACTATAAATGAGCAAATTTAGAAAAAATTCTGAGATGATGGCTAAACATGGTTCCCTTGTTAGAAAAGCCAATTTAACGACCAGCTTTTTCAGAAAAATCCATACTTTATTCTTCTAAACGAGCTGAACTCTGTAAAATCGGCTTCCCTGTCCTACAGCGAAGGAAACTAGAAACGCGAAAAAAGACGGATTCACCGTTCAGAATCTGAAGAACGAATTGGCTCATTTGGGTCTCACCACGATTTTTCCAGAGATTCAGAATCACGCAAAATTGGTGTATTCTGAAGTGGACAAACGCAAAAAAGGGAGCGTCCTAAGAACTTGTGATTTGTTTGATTCTATTGAGCAGTGCCAGCTGGTGTGTGTTCTTGAGAAATGCCCAAAGGTAGTATTCATTGATTGATTTTTCAAGAAAAATCTGAAAAATTCAGCTCAAAAAGTTTGTACACAATCAAAAAGGATGTTCAAGAGTTTATGCGTTGAAGTGTAATGAATGTGAGAGTAAACCGAAGGCGTCGGAGATTCAGAAGACATTTGAAGATCTGAAAATCACTAAAGAGACTTCAGAATCTTCTAAAAAGGCTCCAGAAGCTTCTCCACCACTCCAGAAATTCCCAGAACCTACAATAACCCAGAAGGAGTCGAAAAACTGTGAAAAGTGTTTCAGAACGTGTGAAATGTTGAATGAAGCAAAGAAAGAGCTGAAATCCAATGAAAACAGAATTAAGAATTTGGAAAAGAAGTTGTCAACGAAGGAGAAAAAGTTGGAAGAGTTTGAGGATCAAAAGCAGAAAATACAAGAAAAGGAGAAAGAGATTCAAGAGAAATTGGAGGAAATCGAGCAGTTGAAGGGGTAAGAGGAATTTCAAAAAGCGAGGATATGATCTGGAATATTTCAGAAAAGTTGAGAAAAGTCTGAAAATAGCTGAAGACAACGGAAAACTGATTTCTGAAGTCACCAAACTGACTGATTCTATTGCTGAGCTCAACGAGGAACATTCAAAGTAACGTGTTTAGCAAATGCGCTCGACTGCTAATTCAACAAATTTCAGACAAACAGAGAAGTTTCTGGAATCTCAAAATCAGCAATTCGATAAAATTTCACACCTGGAATATGAGCTGGATATGGCAAGACAAACGACTGAAATTCTGAATCAAAAGATTCTTGAATTAGAAAATCAGAGAGCGGAAAATGAGAATTGGGAAGCTGAAAAGCAAAATCTACATCTGGAAATTCAAGAAAATAGAGGAAAAATTAAAGAATTTTACGATGAAAATATTCGGATGCGGACAGAAAATGAAGTGAATCAACGGATGATTCAACAGCTTCTGGATAAGTTATCCAGTGCCACGTCATCAGGAAATAGCTACAGTAATCCTCCTGTCGCAACATCTGGTCGTGACTACAGTAATCCAGTCAACTACCGTAGACCTGAATCACTGTCTTCTGGATCAAAATACAGTAATCCTCGACCAACTGTCTCCTAAAGTACCCCGAACGATAACAGCCATCCAGGGTCCGCATGCTCTGGATCAACCTACAGTAATCCAGGAATCTCGAAATGTGAAATTTGTCGATACGAATTAAAATCCGATGATCGAATCTACAAATGCTACCAATGCAGATGCCCATCTCATACTAATGTTTTTATTCTTTTCAAACTTTCATTTATCGATTTTTTGCTTCTTTCAGTGTGCATCAAATTAGCTCAAAAAACGTCAAGAGTGTCCGTCGTGCAATGGAACATTCCTTAATTCTAACAGGAATCGATCTTATTTTTGAATTGTTTCTTCTATCGCATGAATCAATTTTTACTTGTATTTTTCCACCTAAAATTTTTTTCTGCTAAAATTTCCGGTTTTTTACCCATTTTTCTTTCTTTCTTGTTTCGATAAAGTTTTTTATTAGAACATTGTCTTTTTAAATGTTTTCTCGATTTCCATTTAATACCTTTTCTTATTAAAAATTTTTAAATGAAAGAGAAACTAGGTCAAATTCGACAATCCAGTTTTCGTGGTGAGACCCGGCGCAAAAATTTTTGCTGTGTTCCTTTACAAGGTACCGTAGCTCTGTTTTTCTCACAGTTTTTTTTCGATATTTCATCCTATTTTCGCAAATTTTATAATCGAAAAAACCAACTTTCCAGGGTTCAAAATGACAAATTACCTAAAAGTTCCTGAAAAAACGCCCATAGCAGACGCTACTCTTCACATCGCCTCGAATTATGTCATAAATGAGGTAAAAGTTGATTTTCGGTTGAAAAAAAACACCGTTTTTTTTCAGTGGAACACACATTTCAATACAAAAAAGGATTATAAAAATGAGAACGAATCTAAAGTACTCCAGAAAATAATCGATAATTCAGATCAGCAGCTGAGTGGGTTTATGATCGATGGAAACTTGAAAAGTCGATAATTTCAGGAATGTACGGCTCCGGTCAGGAATTGGCTGAAAATCTGAGAATTTTTGGAAATTTTCCGTTGAGTCACAAGTTTTTTAATACCGAAATTTGTGATCCTTTCACAAATCGAACTGCAGAAGTCTATTAAAATCTGAAAAAACAGAAATATTACTGTGAACCGGATCTTTTCGTGATTCTTCACAACTTGATAAATGAGAATTTAAAGGCACCAGTACCGAAAACCGTTCAATTTATGACAATTGCATTTTTAAAATCTCGAGAAGAGGCGAATCATGGAAGACTGGAATTTGTGAAATTTGATGAGAAAGTCTTCGAAAAAATTGAAGAAGAGATTCAGGAATCGTTGAAGAATTATATTGTTACAGTGAGGAAAACATTTGAAAGTTCAAAATTCTAATTTTCAAACTGTATCAGGTTTCTTTCACCCAGTTTTGGACAGATTGAAAATTCTCTTTCGGTAAAAAATATTTTAATATGTCAGATTTCTACTAATTGTTCAGGCTTGAAAGAAAAAGATTTTTCATTAATCTGTATGTCCAGATGTCCGCAATTTTTTTTCAGTTCATTCGCACACCAATCATCCATTCAAAACATCGAGCACAGCCGATCGTTGGAGTGGATCCTGGAGAGTTTTGCATTCTCGCTGAAGACGCACTTTTTCATTTTTTACGAAAATTGATTTTTGGTGGAAAAGTGTTTCAGAGGGAAATGAATCAGGAGATCAAATGGATGATCAATCAACTGGAGAATCTTTTTTATTGTGATTTTGTTCGTTTTTACAAATTTTAAAAACACAAAAATAGTTAATATTTGAAAAAAATCGAATTTCAGATTTTGGTGTATCTGGACAAAATGGACAAATTGGAGGCCAAAATCCAAGAGAGAATTTCGAAATTCCCGCCAGCCAAAGACGTTCGAAATGCCAAATCCAACGGATTCACTGTTCAGAATCTGAAGAACGAATTGGCTCATGTGGGTCTCACCACGAATTTTCCAAAGATCCAGAATCACGCAGAATCGATGTATTCTGAAGTGAAAAACCGCAAAAAAGAGCATTTTTTGAGAACTTGTGACCTGTTTGATGCTATTGAACAGTGTCAATTGGCCTGTATTTTTGAGAAATTCCCAAAGGTAATATTGATTTATTGGTTTACCCAGAAATCGATGAATTCAGCTCAAAGCGTTTCTACACGATCAACGAGCATGTGCAAGAGTTTGGGCGCTGAAATGTGCCACGTGTAAACCGGAAACGGAGCTGAAAAAATCGACGAAATCGGAGAATCCCAAGAAATTCAAAGACACAAAATGGAGATTTTACAAAAGAAACGAGATTCAATTAGCTAGAAATTTTGACCCGAACGATGTAATAATTGGGAAAATACTTTTTTGTAAAAACCTAAAACTGTAAAAAAAATCAATATTCAGAAAATGTTTTAAAAAATCAAAAATATAAAATTCTCAAAAAAACAAAACCAAAATTTGGAAAAATACAAAAATAATGTTTTTTTCTGAAACTCCGAAAATCCGAAATTTATAAAATATTCCAAAATCCAAAAAAAAAATCCCACAATGTACTCTAAAACTCTGAAATCTTGAAAATTCACAAATAAATGTTTTTAGTTCTCAAAATCTGAAAACTTGGTTATTCTCAAAAATCTCGAAAATTGCCAAAAAAAATCGAATTTACAGTAACAAAAAAACTTTTGAATTTTCAAAAATTCTCCAACTTTTTTTCCGGACAAAATTAAACATTTCAAAAAATTTCAGGAATAATTCGAGAAAATGTTTGATCCGAGATTTTTGAAAATTCCCAAAAAAATAATTCCAAATTTTCAGAACGATGCCTTCATCACCCTTTCGGACGGTGTGAAACTGTACTCGAGTTTGAATCTCTACTACAATTTAATTCAAAAATACAATCAGCTCAAAGGGATTCCGAGAATGACCGAGAACAAATTTGACGAAATTAGTAGAAATTCAAAATTATTCTTGCTCGACGCATACGATGCCAGTTACGCCTCATCCAGCATCTTCAAACTAAACGAACAAGTGAAAAAATCGATTTATTCGAGTGACAAACCATTTCTTCACAATTTGGGCGCCTTTTCGGTTTGTTGTCTGGACATCTGGACACACAGAAATTCTTGATTTTTTCAGAAAGTTTACAAAAAACACTTTTACATTCGTACCGTTGCTGTGACGCCAATTCAAATCGAATCCAGAAGACGTGTATTCGCAGAGGAGATTCTGGAAATTCTAGAGATTATTCTGGATGGAAAGGAGAAGGAGAAGCTGAAAAAAAATCAGAATTCGTGGAAATTGAATTCAGGGAAATCTACATTAAGTTTGGAGGAATTGAAACAGGTTCTGGAGGATTTGGATGTCGATAAAAGCAGAATTTCGGTATGTGTGTCCTGATGTCCACGTATATTGAATTTTCCAGCTCATCCTAGATTTGTCTGAAACTCTATCCACGATTCAGATGATGAGGAAAACTGGTGATCCGGTAATTTCGCTGAATTTTGAAAAGGCCGAAATTGTGATGAGCAATTATCAAGCGATTTTCAAGATTTTCCAATCGATAATCTGTGAAATCGATTGGTCCACAGATTCATGCAAAAAGCATCCGAAATGCGCAATTTCACATAAGTCGAAAATTTTGGAACATATCAAAAAGTATCAATCGATGACAGAGGGAGCATTTGTGCCAGCTGAAGACGTTGACGACCTAGTCAAAGATTTAAAGGCGCATTGTAACTACAGTAATCGAAAAGGCAGCCACGTGGCACCCATGGTGAAGTTGTTCGATGCCAATTTCAATGAGTTTGTTTCGATGCACTTCTTTTTGGAGGAATTGAAAAAATGTGGAATTTCCACTGATTCTGAATCAGAAGACGTCGCCGGGGATTCAGAAAAACTAAAAGCCAGTGGGATTCCTGTGTGGAAAACGAGAATTCTATTTATGTTGGCGTGGATTGAGGCGTTTTTTGGGAATGAATTCAAAAAATTGAAGGAGATTCTGAGAAGAGCGATGATGTACAGAATTCCGTGTCCGGAATTCGAGAAGGACGAGGACTTGATGGTAGGTTGGAAATTCTGAAAAATTGATTTTTTTTGAAACGCCAAATTCTGAATTTCTGGGATTTTTCAACAACAAAAAAAAACAAACGAAAAAAAATTATAAATTATAAAAAAGTGAATATTAAAATTTGCATGGCCGCAGACTAGAAACCTCCCAGCTCTTCCACCGAATGCAAAAACCTCGTTGTAAATAACTTTCGGGACTTTTTAATGCATTTTTCCAGAATATTCTTCTCGGCACTGATGAAGAAAAGGAAGAACAGATTGCTCAATTGTCGATGATCACTCTGAACGATAATCCGCCATCTCACGAATCTCTGAAAACTGCAAAACCTAGGTCATGGACCTTTTCCGGACACGGTTACCGTTGGAACGATCCAATTTCATTGGGAATTGTGCAGAAATTCTTGGAGGGAATTCAAAAAACGGATAAGGCAACTCCAGAATCCAAGAGAGTGAATGAGCAAACGGCTACAGTAGTCCAAAAGAATCCCGAGCTTGCTACAGTAACCCCGAAAACAAGAGAATCGGCTCCAGATGAAACAAGAGAGGATTCTGATTCCAGGAAAAGCAATGAGCAATCATCTACGGCACCTCAAAAGACGTCGGAGATTCAGAAGACATTTGAAGATCTGAAAATCACAAAGGGTACATTAGAATCAGCTCCAGGAGACGTCAAAACTTTAGAATATTCTAAAAAGGCTCCAGAAGCTTCTCCACCACTTCAGAAGATTCCAGAACCTACAGTACCCCAGAAGGAGTCGAAAAACTGTGAAAAGTGTTTCAGAACGTGTGAAATGTTGAATGAAGCAAAGAAAGAGCTGAAATCCAATGAAAACAGAATTAAGAATTTGGAAAAGAAGGTGTCAACGAAGGAGAAAAAGTTGGAAGAGTTTGAGGATCAAAAGCAGAAAATACAAGAAAAGGAGAAAGAGATTCAAGAGAAATCGGAGGAAATCGAGCAGTTGAAGAGGTAAGAGGAATTTCAAAAAGCGAGGATATGATCTGGAATATTTCAGAAAAGTTGAGGAAAGTCTGAAAATAGCTGAAGACAATGGAAAACTGATTTCTGAAGTCACCAAACTGACTGATTCTATTGCTGAGCTCAAAGAGGAACATTCAAAGTAACGTGTTTAGCAAATGCGCTCGACTGCTAATTCAACAAATTTCAGACAAACAGAGAAGTTTCTGGAATCTCAAAATCAGCAATTCGATCAAATTTCACACCTGGAATATGAGCTGGATATGGCAAGACAAACGACTGAAATTCTGAATCAAAAGATTCTTGAATTAGAAAATCAGAGAGCGGAAAATGAGAATTGGGAAGCTGAAAAGCAAAATCTACATCTGGAAATTCAAGAAAATAGAGGAAAAATTAAAGAATTTTACGATGAAAATATTCGGATGCGGACAGAAAATGAAGTGAATCAACGGATGATTCAACAGCTTCTGGATAAGTTATCCAGTGCCAGGTCATCAGGAAATAGCTACAGTAATCCTCCTGTCGCAACATCTGGTCGTGACTACAGTAATCCTGGTCAAGGGCCTTACGACGATCCTCCTTATATGTCTAATGATCGTACACCTGAATCATCTTCCACATACAGTACCTCTCTTGATGACGCTCCGAACGCCTCCAGTTACAGTAATCATCATGAAACGCCACCTGCCTCAAACTACAATAATCCTGAAATCTCAAAATGTCAAATTTGTCGATACGAATTAAAATCCGATGATCTAATCTACAAATGCTACCAATGCAGATGCCCATCTCATACTAATGTTTGTATTCTTTTTAAACAATCAGTTATCGATTTTTCGCTTCTTTCAGTGTGCATCAAATTAGCTCAAAAAACGTCAAGAGTGTCCGTCGTGCAATGGAACATTCCTTAATTCTAACAGGAATCGATCCTATTTTTAAAGTTATTTTTTCTGCATTTATCGATTCTGTTCTTGTTTTTTTTATAAATAAAAAATCATTTTCTACCTGTTTCACTAAAATCTTTGGTCTGTAACCAATTCTTCTATCTTTTTGTACTATTTTATTCTTCTTATTTCTGTTAGTTTTATAGAGAAAATGTATAACTTTTTGAAAATTCCCGACGAGGCTCACACTCCAGGATGTCTTTTTCAACAGTTTATTCGATACAGTTTCTATAAGGTCTGTCATTTTTTCCAGAAATTTTCAGTTTTTTTTTCTATTTCAGATCAATTTCAGTCCCAAAGGTTACGTTCGCTCGAACGGGTGGTCTCAAGAGGAAAAAAAGATTGCGTTTCTGCAGAATCTGATGGAAGAAATGGGTCAGAAGTCTGGTAAGAAAATTGTTTAAGCGGATTTTCTGATGTTTTTTTCCATTCCAGGAATGTTCGGAAGTGCTGAGGAGCTTTTGGAAAATCTGAAAATTTATGCGGATTTTCCTGGAAACGATGATTCCTTTGACACGAAATTCGAGGATTCGGAAGTCAAAAACTATCCAGAATCCCAAAAACGTGATGAGCAACCAACTACAGTATTCTCTAAGGTTGTCCCTGTCCCTGAAAAGACTCCAGAATTCCAAATTGACATTCAGGATATTTCGGAATCTTCTACACCACTCCTGAATGCTTCAACTGCTCCAGAAACATCAGAATCCGAGAATATTGATGAGCAATTTATTAAATCTTCAGATGCATCTACTCCTCAGAAAGTATCAGAAAGAGACGAGGAAATTCTAGAATTGAAGAGGTCAGCAGAAAGAAATATAAAATTTTTAAACACTAAAACTTTCAGACAATTAGCAGATCAACTGAAAATCGAGAAGGAAAACGAGGAGCTGAAATTTGTGATTTCACACTTGAACGCGAAAATTGCTCAGCTGAATGATGAAAAATCGAATAAGGAAGAGAACTATCGACAAAAGATGAATCGTCAATTCAGACATGACTGATATTATAAAAATCGTAAATAATTGTTTTCTGTAGTGTTTAATGTTACATTTTTACTTGAATGAGATAAATAAAATTTATCGACGAATTTCACTTTTGATTCCCCCGAGAGGGGAATCGAGAAATTCTGAGAACGAATACATTTGAGCATTTTCAGGATGGCACAAACTTTTGAAATTTCAAAAAACCAGTAAATCAAAAAGAACCTTCGGATGGAAACTTTTCTTCCACAATGGACATCTAATGATCTGACTCATCGACGAAACGCTTCAGAATTCAACAGGCTTATTTGTTATTTGTTAGAGGGAATACAACTAAACAGGTTTTGATATAATATTTGATTTATTGAAAACAATTATTAGAACAACAAAGTAAAACACCGAAAGAAAGATACAAATAAAAACCGTTAGTACAAATTATTAGGGGATGGAATGAAACAGAATATAAAGTTAAAATTGTTATTATAACTTCTTGGACATCGACTTCTTGGCCATCAATTGCTTGGCGAGTTCTGGATTGTAGAATGGGTTAGGGACGAGTTGGACTCCAGTTGGTGAGATTGGCGATGTTGGTTTGGATGCCGTCTGCTTCTTCTTCTGTCGTTCGGCCAGAATCTGTTTTGCGAGCTCCGGATTGTAGAATGGATTGGGGACGAGCATTGGAGGTGGGCTAGAGAATGTCGGACTAGAAGACGAGGTAGAGGTTTCAGAATCCGAACTGTATTCTGGATATTCGGCTACGTGGGATTCATAGTAATACTGGTCTTGGATCTCAATCATCTTCTCAGCCATGTAGCGAGAGTAGTGGTCCAATGATTTCTTCTGGTCCTGATTTAAGCGGTGAGTCCGTGGGACATAGTGGAAGGAATAGAACGATGGAGCAGAGTAGTAGAAAGACATGGTTACAGTAGTCTAGAGAGTTGACGAACTGAATGAACCAGAAATGGGTGATTTGATATCCAAACACAACTCCTTATATACCTTTTTCTGGACCGGGATTTCCGCCCCGCCCACTCAGATCTGCTTTGGTTGCGCTCCTGGGAAGATGCGGATAGATGTGCAGGTGGCCATCATACCGGATGTATTCCCGTATGCTCCTGGGAAATGAGGTGCAGTAATGTTGTCGTAAATGGCTGTAATTCACTAATATTTACAATAGTTTAAGGTGAAGAGACAATACATATCAGCAAGATGAGGTCAGTTATATAGGTAAAGGCGGTTTAAGCTACCGGATGTAAAGGTTTTAGGTCCAGGCATGAGAACGAAGGCAATGAGAACTGATATATTTTGGGACGGCCTGTGAATCAGGGATGTGACTTTACGTTTACGAATTTTACTGATTTTTTGGATTTTCTTGGTACTCGTAAAATTTAATCCGTAAAATTCGTAAAACTGAATGAGTGGTTTTTTTCAGTATTTCTGTTTAGAATTGGCTAAATCTCTTAATAATGAAACTGCAGTTTTTCTTCAATTTGGATAGAATTTTTATATTTTTTGCGAATTTTACGGATTTTACGATGCTACGAGCTTGTAATCCGTAAAATTTTACTTTTACGAAACTCGTAAAATAAAAATTTTACGCATATGCCTGCTGTGAATCGAAGTTTTCAAAGTTATGCTCAAACTTGATAAAACTTCATGAAATATTGCAAAACATTTTAGGCCTGTTTATGCGTTGCCTACAAAAATTGAGCTCAAATCTCTACAATGAGAAACTTTGGAAAATATTTTCTCAAATTTCGATCATATGGTCTACAGGAAAGATACTATACGCTTTGAGGTCATATTCATATTTCTTTTGGAAAAGCATATCTCAAAAAATCAAGCGAATTGTTTTCCAAGAAGAAAATGGAAGCTTGAAAAGGCACTAAACATTATTTCAATGATTTTCCGATTCACACTAGCTCTCATATGGAGCACATCACCTAAAAATTAAAAAAGCTTTTTTTTTTAAGATCATAAACTATTTCTGGTTTTTCAGTGTTTATTTCCAATGTGATTCCAGATGTCTATGAAAATTCGATAATTCTAAATTTCAGAAGTTCGGAACCTCTAAAACTGAGAAAGTTAGAAATGCAGTCCAAAATTTCAGATTTCAATGAATTGAGAAGTTTAGAAACTCGCAAATATAAATCTGATTTCAGAACTTAAAAAAATTCTCGAAAAATAAATCACTTGCTTTTTAGAGAAAATGATTTTCCAGAAAAAAAAGATTATGAATTTGACAGCAGTACTTTTTGAAGAGGATATTTCATGTAGGTCAAAATTAATTGGAAATTTAAAGGATTCGCTAAAAAATTCCAATTGTTTTAGTTTTTAATAGGCAGTTCATAAATAGGCATAATACCGTTTTCAACGTTTCATGAAGTTTCATTAAGTTTGAGCATAACTTTGAAAATTTCTCAGTCAGTTCGAAAACATAACAGTTCTCATTCCCAGAACTCTCATTCCTGGTAGTACCATTTTTACATCCGCCAGCACATCCGCCTTCACCTACTAATATAATTGGCCTTATCTTGCCGACATCTATTAGGTCTTTACCTTAAATTACTGTCGATGTAAATTATTTACAACCATTTACATGTGGTGACGTTACTGTACCTCATTTCCCAGGAGCATAAGAGAATACATCCGGTATGATGGCCACCTGCACATCTATCCGCACCTTCCCAGAAGCTCAACAAAAGCAGATCTGAGTGGGCGGGGCGAAAATCAAGGTCCAGAAAAGGTATATAAGGAGTTGTGTTTGTATCTCAAATTACCCATTTCTGGTTCATTCAGTTCGTCAACTCTCTAGACTACTGTAACCATGTCTTTCTACTACTCTGCTCCATCGTTCTATTCCTTCCACTATGTCCCACGGACTCACCGCCTTAATCAGGATCAGAAGAAATCATTGGACCACTACTCTCGCTACATGGCTGAGAAGATGATTGAGATCCAAGACCAGTATTACTATGAATCCCACGTAGCCGAATATCCAGAATACAGCTCGGATTCTGAAGTCTCTACCTCGTCTTCCAGTCCGACATTCTCTAGCCCACCTCCAATGCTCGTCCCCAATCCATTCTACAATCCGGAGCTCGCAAAACAGATTCTGGCTGAACGACGGAAGAAGAAGCAGATGGAATCCAAACCAACATCGCCAATCTCACCAACTGGAGTCCAACTCGTCCCTAACCCATTCTACAATCCAGAACTCGCCAAGCAATTGATGGCCAAGAAGTCGATGTCCAAGAAGTTATAAAACCAATTTAAATTTTATTTTCTTTTTCATTCCATCCCCTAATAATTTGTACTAACGGTTTCTATTTGTATCTTTCTTTCGGTGTTTTATTTGTATTTAATGTTCTAATAATTTTCTTTTTTCAATAAACTAAATATAAAATTTAAATCCCTTGAATTTTTTCATCAAAATATCTACAATTCGTTGCATGAAAATCTAGTATCAGTACAAATCGATATTGAAGACCTTCCAAATAATTATAACCATTGCATCTGATATCTTTTCTAGATCATTTATCATGATCACCTAATTTTCACTAATTGGGTTTTCTATGCCACTAATTTTTATGGCTCAGAAATGACCTGATTATCCTCTGTTGGTTTTTAGGCAACACAGTGACGTTCGCAAAATGCATTTTTTGGCCACCATGGCGAATTCCCTAGAAAACGCACAAGGTGAATCAGGTTTTTTCTAAACCAGGAAAGATAGTCCCCTAAAAAACTCAACTTGCAAAAGTTAAATCACCCTGTTAAAATGGCCTGAAACGAACTACGTTTTAAAGAATTTCCGGAGATTTTTCGAAATTAATCGTTTTCGAAAAACTTTCTTGTTTTACAGATTTTAATATTCCGAATTTCTGAAACTCGAGAAAAATCCGAAATTCAAATTGAAAAGTCTAGTCTAATGCATCAAATGTTCCATAATTCATCAGATAAGATTACCATCCTTTTTCCGCGGAAAAAAGGCCGAAAGATACAAGACGCAGACAATTGGAGATAAGACTTAGAAAGGTCAAATCTACATATTATATACATTTTCTGACCTTTTTTCCAATTATATTAAATTTAGAATATCTTAAAAAAAATAAACATGATGGACGAAATTTTGAACTTTGGCTTTGGAATTCTTATTGGCTACTATTCCACAATATTTTTGATGAAAAAGGTGAAACTTTTGGTTTGTTTTGGTTTTCAAAAAATATTTTTTCAGGTCAATTTACTAGAAAGTGAAGACAATTTAAGAGTAAAAAAGAAAAATATAAAAAGGTTTCCAATTCTAAAATTACCAGCATTGGTCATGCACGATGTCATAAAACTAATGGACCTCGATGAAAGGTAAATATTTTTACTAAAAAATCAAATAGTTACAAAGCTAATTACCTTTTTAATTGCACTTAGAATGTTTTAAATTCGAACCGCACAATTTTTTGTGTTCGGTGGAGCGTTGTTGCAAAAAAATCTGTTTCGTTTTTCAGCAAAAAATGTGATTTTTAAAAGCAATTTTTAGGGAATTTATTTTCTGATTATCCGAAAATTGATAATTTTGGAATTCTCCGAATTTATTGAATTACCGAAAACAAGTTTGTAGATTTTCTCAAATATTCAAAAAACCAAAAATTTCAGAGTGGAACTAGCTCTATCTTCTGAAAGGATGAAACAAAATGTGCAAGCGGCTCGAGCGAAAACAGTTTATACAATAAATATAAGAGAACGAGGAACACATATAAAAATGGATCCGGGTGGAATTCAAATTTTTTGCGGAATCAAAAGTTGGAATTTTGCGCCCGAGTGGTATGAGAGAAATGGATTCTCGTTGGGACATTGGTAAGTTTTTTTTGAAATTTGAAATTTCGATAGTTTGTTGGGAAATTCAGAATTGAAAAATTCTGAAATTCTGAGGTTTCGAAATTCTACAATATCATTCTCGGAGTTCCAAAAAACTCGAATTAATCAAAAGCTAAAAAAATCAAAAACTAAAAAAATGTTTGCTAAATTTTTTGAATTCAAGAACTTCTAATTTTTCGAAAATTCTTAATTTCTGCAATTTTGGAATTCTAAATCACGAAATCCATGATCCAGATTTCCAGTATTCCAGTAAACGGAGAAATACAGAAAGTCTAAAGTTCCGAAAAATCCGAAAAGTTCAATAATCGGAATGAATTTCAGAAACTTAGAGATTCACATATTCAGAAGAAAAATTTTGAACTTTTGAATTTTAGAAAAATCTCTGAATTTTGATTTAGATATTTAGAAATTCTAAAACTCTGAAAACAAGCTTGAAATTCAAAAAAATTCAATTTTTCAAAACTTTGAAAAATCTTAAAAATTCATAAAAATCTCTATTGTGAGATGTTACTTTTGAAAAAATAACCTGGAAAATGAAAATTTTTTTCAACAAAAATATCAAGGAATGTACAGGCTGAACCGTCCGAATCCTCGTCAATCAGTTTTCCAAAACCTGATCATCAATTTCGAAAGACTGAAACAACTGACACCTCCTTCATTTTTAATCATTAATTGCTACATTGACCTGATGAAAAATGTGACGATTCGCCAAGTAATCGACTCTCCAGACCTACAAAATTGGGATCAAATCTATTTTTATGGCATTGAAAATACGGGTGAAGTGTTAAAATGGATCAATGAAATCAGTATGAGACAGGAGCTACGCGTTGATTTCGATTGTGATTGGATCATGGTTGAGAAGAGGTTTTGTAAAGTCCCAGAATTGTGAAAAATTAGTTCTTTTTTGCTTTTCAGAAGTTTTTGAAATTTCGATTTTAAAACTTTTTTCGAATTTTCTTGAACTCTTGTTTTGGTGGTACGACGGATTGGAGATTTCCTAGAGGGGAACTGTAGCAAAAAGAAATTTTCCGAAATCAAAATTGTTCCAAATTGAAAATTGTGCGAAGTCAGAACTCTCTGGAAGTAGAAATTATTAGGTTGGCTAATAAGTCTTTGTGCACTTTTGTTTTCCTCTTTTCTTTTAACTAAGCTAAAACAACAACATGTGTGTAACTGGATATGGTATATAAGATTATAAGGTTGTGGCCCATAACCATCATTTGCCCTGCTCTCATTCCTCTTGCGAACGGGATGCCCCTTTTGATACCCACTGTTTTTGGGTGAAATTCCTGTTTGATGACGTCTACTGGCTGTTTAACGAAGTCAAGACATTGGGCTTTTCTGTGATGGTTAGTATATATGACCCTCTTTTTTATCTAATTGTAAGGTGATAATATAATTCAGCCGCTTGAAGTTCCCGAGTAGAGTAAGAAGTTGCATGCTCATGTCCACTCGCCGCTGAACATCAAAACTGTCAAAACGGCGAGGTATCCGCCGTCCAAATATTTCTGTCTTTCGCAACTTTAACAATCCATTTTCAATAGTGGTATGGGTTGTCCCTAAAGTGATTGACATTTCACGGGTAGATTGGAAAGGGTCCCGTTCCACTAGATTTTTCAGCTTGCCTAGATCTCGAAGAACTGGTGGCCCGGGACGAGTTTCATCTTTCATCGAAAAGTCCTGGTTCTTGAACTTGCCAACCCAAATTACAACGGTGCCTCTATGGGGACATTATCTTTGTAAACTTCCACCAGGCAGTGATGAATATCGGGTACTTTCAGGTTAGAAATGAATGTAAACTGTTGTGTCTCCTGGTGGCGGCATTGTGTGAACCACCAGCCAGACAGTATGTGAGTAGTAGATGAATAAGGACTTTATTCAGTGAATCCGGGACAACAGAATACTTTGGGGCAGGAGAGAGAGAGAGTATCAGAATGATCAGCCCCTTTATCTAGGAGTTCTGACCAAGGGAACAAATAGTTACGCGCGTGATGACAATTAGCACAAACAGTGGTTATTGCGCGCGCCTACTTTGGGTAGATCAAACTAAGGCGGATATTAAACTTATAAAACTAATGAAGGTTTGCATAGTCTGCAACATAAACAATATACAGAAATTTCACCCAAAAACAGTGGGTATCAAAAGGGACATCTCGTTCGCAAGCGGAATGAGAGCAGGGCGAATGATGTTATTGTGAACAACCTTATCATCTTATATACCGTATGCGGTTACACACATGTTACTGTTCTAGCTCAGTTAAGAGAAAAGAGGAAAACAAAAGTGCACAAAGACTTATTAGCCAACCTAATAGACGGAACAGAAATGCCTAAAGTGAATTTGTTGGAACGCTTTTAGCAATAGAGCGCTCTATTAAACATCGTTTCAAAACGGGACAGTTCTACTTCAAAACAATTTCGCTTTCGCCTTTTCTGCTTTCGGACAGTTTTCATTCCGTAAATGTTTAAATTCGGAAGTATTTCAATTCATGAACATTTCATTTTGCTACCATTTCATTTTGGGAAATTTCCGATCAGTCGTAACACCCTTGTTTTTGTACATTTAGGTGCTTTTGTTTGAATTTCCCCAAGAATTATTAATTCTCTCTCAATTTTTTTTTGAAATTCTTCGAAAATTTCCAAACTTCCAAACTTCTGAATTTCTGAATTTTCCGGAAAAATAAATAATTCATTCAATAACTGCTTCAAAGCATATATACACAATCAATATACATAATACAACATAACATTTCCAATAACATTATTTAAATCTTTCAAAAAAAATTAATTAATTCCTTTTTCTTCTCTCATCTCCAACAGCATATCGTATGCTTCTTGTCCTTGGTCCAAATTACAGTAATCATTTGGATTCATAGTTTCCATGAAAAATATGTCATTTTCCAGTAGACAATTCCTACTGTATTTTTCCGATTTTCTTTTTTGGCCAAGCTAAAAATTAGAAATTTTAAGTTTTGGCCCCCACTTTCCCCAACTTTAAGCTAACCGGTCAAGCTCAAACCTAGGTTTTTTAATTGTTTAAACTCACAAGACATATTTACTCTGTCCGCCACGTCTCACCGTGACTACTTCGACGTCTTCAAGTACATGATGGAGTCGTAGACTGACCCATTTGTATCTTGGAATTTCCAATTTTTCGAACATATCCCATTCTTTGTGGAGCCAATTCTCAATGAGCATGTTGTATTCGGAGTTTGTGAAATCGTTATTTGCGCCTAATTTCACAGATTTCGCGTTTTTCAAGTTGTACAAATCTTCGATTTGGACCCAACTCGCGTCATGGTATTCGATTGATTTGAATGAGGAGAATGCCTGAAATTTCAAATTAAAAATGTTTTTCTGGATTTCCAGATGTATGGATGTCTAGGAATTCAGAAATTCAATGAATTTGAAAAATATTAGGTTGAACAGAAAGTTTCTTCCTTTTTGGCAGGGTTGTTTTTGATATTCAATTTCTGGTTTCCAAAGTGGTGTACCAGGCTGGATGTTTTTTGTTTTATAGCTGTGTTTAGTGTCTATTAGATTATAGATTGGTAAGTTTTTCTCTCACTCCGTTTTGAGAAAATGACGATTCTTTTGGTCCTTACCAAACGAGACATGATTATATTTTTATTTTTATTTGCTCTTCAAAACCCCGGTATTCACAAGCAATTGGTGAATGTATATAAGGGACATGTTTGGCCATCGCCTACAAGTTGCTTTTGGTCCGAAAAAATTCGCGCAGGGGAGATCCGGTTGAAAGATGGCAAAGGCCCAGTGAGCTGGATCTCAATCAATTGCTAAAAGTCCTGAAGGGGGATCTATTTCAAACCACTCGTAAAATGTCAGAAGCATTGTCTGTTAGTCAACATAGTATTGTGAACGGATAAAAGTATTTTGGCAACTTCAAGAACTGGGTCGATTCGTACCCATGTTTTGAAGGACTATGATATGGATCGCCGTGTAGGCATGAGCATGTTTCTCCTATCATTTCTTTGCACGTTTACATGAGTGAATGATCTAGTTACCGTAGATTATATTTATATTTTTATTTGGTCTTCAAAACCCCGGTATTCACAAGCAATTGGTGAATGTATATAAGGGACATGTTTGGCCATCGCCTACAAGTTGCTTTTGGTCCGAAAAAATTCGAGTGGGTAAGTTACTATATCAATGTGCGGAAGGGTCAGTTGATTGACAAAGAAGAACTTGCTCTGGACGTCCCGATATCTAAATTTTACGTGAAAATGGGGATGTTATGTGTTTGGTGGTTTTTCAAGAGAATGGGGACTGGAAACTTTTAGATGAAGGTATCATTAAAACTGCCGTCTCGTATAGTTCCTAAATAAAGCAATTAAATTGGGCAGTCGAAGCAAAACAAATAGAAAAAACCAAAGTTCACATTCAGCGCGACAATGCGAGATCACTCGTGATTAGAGGGATCAGCCAAAAATTCATGTCGTTTGGCTGAATCATTCTTTTGCATTCATCGTATTTTCCGGGCATTGCCCTTTCAAATAAATGGTCTTTTGGGGCTCTTAAAGGGGGACTCCGACCAAAAATTTTTATTGCATTAAAATGTGTTAAAAGTTATCTATTTTCCGAATATTATTGCGAAAAAATTCAAAGAAAATCCGAAATCTCCGAAAAACGGCGTTGAAAAGGAAGAAAATTCAAAAAAAGGTGCCGCCGGGGGACGAGGATTTTCAGTGAGAAACCTAGGCCACGGCAGCGGATGCCTTTCCTACGTGGCAAATTTTCCGGATTTTTTTAAATTTCATGTCCGGCAGGTCAAAAACGTAAAAAACCACTGTCGGCGACTTGAAAAAAAGGCTGTCAGGTGCCGTGACCTAGGTTTCTCACTGAAAATCCTCGTCCCCCGGCGGCACCTTTTTTTGAATTTTATTCCTTTTCAACGCCGTTTTTCGGGGATTTCGGATTTTCTTTGA